CTGCGAGGCGGCATCACAAAATCCAGTTAAGGTCTTTTCTCCAGGCAGGGATTAGCCTGCCAGTCGTGGCAGTGGTTCTATTCCAATTACTCCAATAAATGTGTTCAGCAATGGGAATGGTTTCTGTGGCACTGCCTAGGATCATGTGCAACCTCTTGCTGCGATTTAGTGAAGTGCGGAAAGCTTGTTTTGTCCTGGGAACGCTCCGACGGAGATTGTGCAGGGGAAAATAAAGCAAAACCACATAATTGGGCTTCTAATGCAAGAGTGAGCTTGTTGAAACATTTAGTGTGACCAAACTTCTGTGAACACTGCAGGCAAATCGTGACCCGAGTAACAGACTCGGGGAATGCGTGGTCGCGATTGTGCTATCTATTAATAGTCGTTTGACACGAACGTACTCATTTACGTCGACGTTTCAGGCAGCGTCTGTCTCCTGACCAAACTCCTCTCCCTCGCATGAGACGGCTCGCTCGCCGGGCGACTTTCTGTCCTTTCTGTGCTTGAGAGTTTCTGGAGAGCGAGCGAATATTTCCGTCATCATGAACATCAGCTGGTGCCTGGGGTCAGGGTTTTTTTGTTAAATCCTGCGCTGGTCCTCCTTTGAAGTTCACCACAATATTTCAGAAGTGGAACCAAAGCTCCGTACGCCCTCTGTGCGTGACCCGGCGCGCTTTGTTCGCTGTCGCTGCCCAGAAAGCATTACTCCGTGTGCCAGTCCAGGGGCTTGCTGCTGGAATTTATGGCAGAGCTGCTTTTAAAGAGCAGCAAATACCACCGTGCTGTCTCTGCTCCTTTTAGCGTTGTTTAAATGTTTGGCAAGAAAAGGGGATAGGAAATAGTAAAGGCAGGGTGAGCGTGTGGTTAAGGCAATGAAAGCCAATTTGGACGACGAGGATTTCGTCTCTGTCCCTGTGACAGGCACCCGTCTAACTCGGAGAAGTTGCTGATTTTTAACGTGGCGGGACCTGGCCCTTGCCTGGGCTGTTCTGTCGCGGGCGGTGCTGCGGGGCCCTGCTCTGCTGCCCCCCCAAACCCGCCCGGCAGCGCGGCCCGAGCGCGGCGGCACCTCCACTCGCCCCGTGTCCAAAGCCCCAATTCGAAGCGCGTTGTTTTCGCACGGAAGGGAAAACGTTAACGGGAGGATTAGAGGAGCATCCAGTTGTTGTAAACAAAGCCAGACCCTTTTGTTCACAAAGGATTTATTGTCCGGGTGGGCAGAGAGTGTCCGGATCCATCAGTTTCATGACACGAACAATTCAATGGCAGGACAGAGGCGTCGCCCCAGGATTCAGGGCTGGATGCCTGCTGCACTGAAGGGATGGAAGAGCTTATTTGCGTTTCCTCAAGCGTCTTCATTATCCAAATTACTGTAAAATAAACATAAAAATGGAGTGGCTCTGTAATATTTAAGACTGCAAGTGGCTGTCAGAGCAGTCCCTTCAGATCCTTTCTTGCCCCTTTTTCTCAAGGAAAGCGTGTGTGCCGCCGCGGGTAGCTGGGTCGTTCTGCTATTTACACCTCCCCGAGGACACCTTCTCTGCCAGGTGCTATGAAACCCTGCCGATGCTTTCGGGGCCTCTTGGCATCGCATCCGAGTGGCTAGAAAGGAATGCATGGGATTTCAACCACAGATAAAACTGCTTAATCCCCAGAATAAAAGGAAACGAACCTAATTCGCAGGTAGCCTAATTCCTGAATAGTCCGCAGGTTTCAAATATTTGAACGCAGCCTGGGTCATCAGCTGTGCAAGACTCAAGTCTGAACACCCTGAGTTCAGTAAGTGCTTTGAATTTTCCCTCTTTGTAACGTGGGGACTCCAGCTGCTGGATTATTGTGTCTCTCTCGGTGAATGCTTTAGGTGAGAGCGGGCATTGCTGGAGGACTGAGAGCGCAACGACAGCGGGTGAAGGCGAAATGTTCCCAGCCTTGCTGGGCTGCCCCAGCCTCAGAGTGCTGTGCCTGAGCTGATGTAGCTTACCTGTCATCAGGGCTTATTAACCGGGGCTTGGCAGTGTCCTAAATGCAGGCACGAACATCTTGGCTGGCTTAGAGAGCAGGCAGAGTGCGCTCGCATCTGCCTGCAATATGCCACGTAGACGTTGCTTTGGTTTTGTGCAGTTTTCCATGTTCTAGTAGTCCCACTGATGAGTTTTTCACCTTGGAGATGGAAACACCGGGCTTTTGGTGGACCTGGGGGGTGGGCGAGCACCCCAGTGTCGCTGGCAGTGCCCACCCCGCTGTCCTTCATCTTCTCATCCCTCTCCTAAAGAACCTGTAATACTCCACCTAGCGTGAATTTTAAGTAAAAAATTGGCCAAATCAGGTCACATTTGTTGTGCAAATACCACCCTGCCATGTAACCTCCAGGGTGCTTGGAAGCAGCTTTGGGGACGGTTGCAGTGGGGCTTTCCCGGGGTGGTTGCCCGCTGCCGGGCGGAGCAGGGGGGCTCTGTCCCCCAGCACTGTCCTGCCACCGGACGCACTGGGGCCGTGCTGGCAGCTGAACACGGGACTTGGAGCAGCGGCTCAGGGTGAATCCAGCCCTCGGTGCTGGGCACGAGTGACCTCTGGCACGAGCAGGAGGAGCCTTTGCTTGCCCCGGGCGAGGGCTGTAGACTGGCCGCTTGCTAAGAAACATTTAATGTTTTGTGTGCTGCTACGGTACCTACGGCACGAGATATGAGCCAGGGAGGCTGAACATGACAGGGTGACACCATTCCCTCTCACTGGAAGGAAGCATGCTGGATGGTTTGGCTGTCGGCATGCCCGCGAGCCCGCGTTTGGGTACGATGCACTCTCTAAATGGCTATTTTTATTCCTCCTCCAAACAGAAGCTGGGTGAAGGACTAGCAAAGCTGCGGACGGCGAGAGAGGCTCCGTCAGACTGCATGTGCCCCCCAGGTAGGTGCAAACGTTCCGGCACGGCCGACGCCAGACCGCCCGGCAGCCGCCCGCTCGCTGGACCGACGCCACTGAGCTCCTCCTCTCCTATTTTACGTATCCTCCCTATCAAGGAAAACGCGCTAAGAAGTGGGGTTTTCCAAGCTGAAGCGCTCTCTTGTGCTCGAGACTGTTAACTTCTCCCATTGCCTTGCTTTGGCCTGTTTACAGATAAAGGAGTTTGAGGTTTGGACAAAAGCAATGTTTGGCTATAAGAATAAAAGAGCAAAGAGCTTTACTCGGTTGTGAGCCCTGGGTGTTGGGCCAAAGCAATTTAGAAGCAGTAACAAAATCACTGGGGCTTAATGCAAGTGTGATAATTAAAAGCTGCAGCCTCTCTGCTGTTAGGAGGGTAGCGGCTTCGCCAGCGCCGCCTTGCTCTATGAAAGCTGTCGCTGATTGTTTAAATTTCCTCCCAGAGTCTAATGAACTTCTTAAACTGCCAAAACTTCCTGTTCTGCTGTGGAAGTGCATGCGCCTTGGAAACAATAAACAACTTCGATCGGTTTGTAAAGGCATCTCCGTTACAGAAACTCTCCGCTGTGGCACCGAGCGGCGTGAATGGCGCGGGGCTGAGGCACGTCAAGCCTTTTCTTTTCACAGAAGTAGCAAAAGATGGGTGAAAGCTGTGCAGTGCTTTGATGGGGGGGATGCAGAGGCACGTGGTCCGAAGCCTTGCAAGCAGCAGATAGGTCAATTCTGGTTTTAAAGGGGGAAAAAAAGCCACAAGCCTTGAATGCTACATGGAGAGGCGTAACAGGCAATGGGGCAGTCTCAGATTTTCCTGACATCACGGAGATGAATCCTGCCAGCACACAGCGTTAGTCCGTGCTCACAGGGCAGAAGAGATGGGCTTTTTCTCCATAAGATGAGTGTAATAACCTCGGGAATATCTCAGTAACGATGCTGCTAACTGTGCCGCCGCAGTTGTGCTGGCTGGGTTTCTAGCGGAAGGCTCCTGCGGGCGTCCTGGGCGCCCCGCTGCCTGATAACCAAAGCCCGTCAGCCGAGACACAAACCAGCCTTGTCTGCAGCTCTTCGGACGCCGGAGGTCAAATCCCATTTTCTCCCTTTGGATGCGCAGAGCCAGGCGAGTCCGTCAGCCTCACGGGGCTCTGCGGGCTGCATCTTGCTCCCGCCAGCGCAACCGGGCACTGCTGCTGAGCTTAAGTGGTCAAGAGGCTTTTCCTTTGCTCTGCAAAAAGCAATTGGGATTGAAGAGGCTCCTTTGTCGCCAGGAAAGTCCCAATTCCGTTCCGGGTCGCTGCATTTGAGAGATGGGGCCGGGGGGAGAGGAGGGGGAAGGTTTTCCCACGTGCTGGTTACAGTCATTAGTAACGAACCTCAGAGTAATTTGTGGGCCAGAGGAAGAAGTGCTGTCCTGGTGGGCAGGAGATGTGGTGGCGTCGGTGGCTGCTCCTGGCTACCACCTTTGGGGAGCTGAGCACTCTGCTACGGCGAGGATGCTCTGCTGAGCTGTTGTGAAGCCTTTCAGCTATTCTTGAGCAAGTCAAAGGAACACTTATGTGTGCTGCTTTTTTTTCCCTCTTTCTTCTGAAGAAGGCTGAATTGCCTTCTGGTTTGTAGTTAAAGAGCTTGGCCCAGAAACATCCCGAGAGCCTGTGGCCGTTGCCGACATTTGCTGCAGAGCTACGCCAGGCTGTGTAACAGCCAAGCCTCAGTTCCCCTCCATGCACCAAAAAAGCAGCCCCTGGGGAAGAGAAAAATCCCCTGCCTGGAGGGGATGGGGAGATGGGGAGACCCTGCCAGCCCTGCCCGCGGGCAGGGGGAGGTGGGAGCACGGCCAGGGTGGGCAGCCCTGGCTGCAGCCCCGCTCCAGCTTCCCCAGGGCAGCGGGGGCCAGTGGGTATCCCACACCCCTGGGCTCCTCCAGAAACCCCGTTAAGCTTAAGAAGAGTTCTTTCTTAATACTGGATTTAAAGCGAGCCCACCGAGGAGCTGTGGATGGTGCGGTACCTCCCGCTGTACCTCTTTGGGAAGGGGGGGCCTCGCTCCCTGGGCAGCAGCGGGAGCTGCTCGGAGCTCGTTTCAAACAAGCCCTGTTTTCCCTTGAAGCGAGTCCACCTGGGGTTCTGTTGGGGTGCTGGTTTTCGGGGATCGCTTTGATAACCATGACTTGCTGTGCGTTAAAAGCAGTCAGGGACACGATGACTGTGATCCGTTTAGAAGTTAAATAAGGCTCAAGTGATTTTGTGTATGGCAAAGCCCTAAATTAGTGGTTGTAAAAAGACCCCAACCAAATAAACCAACCCCAAACCAAAACACCACCACCACCCCCCAAAAAAATAAATCCCAA